TACATCGATTAACTGAGTTGTCATCCGATGCCCAGGCTTCAATCAGTTCTCGACCTGTCTTGCTGCCAGCGTGGGCAATTACCTTCGCGGCTGTGAAGTTGAATTCGTGACCCGTCTCGTAGATGTGGGCCGCCACTTGCGATAATGGGTCACCCCGTCGAACAGCCGACTTGTGTTCGCGTATGCGCGAACCCAGCTTGCGTCCAGTCTGTGCCGTGTAATTTATGGGACAGTTTAGACATGGTATGTGATACACTACGTCCGACTGCTCACTGGTATTCAATCGATCCTTGATTCTCATGACACGGCTGCGCATTGTAGCCTTGGGACGGTGTGTTCAGACCAATAAAATCATGATTCCGGTGTTCGATAATATACACGTTCATAGAATGCGAACATTTGTCTTAATTCGTGTAAACTAATCCGCATGCAACGATCCCGAGATTAGCAGGATTTATTGACGTCATAAAATTTCGCCATCTCTTATTCAACTACAAACAGTCGTTGCCTATTAATAAGGTAAGTGAAGTGTCGACCTAGAAGAGTGAAACTTTGTAGGTAAATAGTGTAGAAGCTATTAGTCTCAGATGTGGGCGCATGGTGAGGGAGGAGGCAGTTGTCACAGCATGGCAGTTCATGTTAGTTCATGTTCATGAAAGCCTCTCAGGCGTGGTCAAAGGGGGGAGGGGCAGAGGACGGGGTAGCAGTCAGTCCCAAGAGGAGCGAGGAGGCGTGAGCTGAAATGAGTTTATCGATTGTCACCACGGCAATGCGAGGTTGATCACATGCTCCAGCTGCTTACAGAGTTATGGTTTTCTTCTCTGTATTGCAGCGGCCTCCGCAAATCGTAGGAGACGCCCGGTCGTCGCCCGAAGTACGACCTTAACTGCAGTCTTTTGGTCGACCGTATGGCCAGTGTCCACTAGGTGTTTCGTGATTGAACTCTTTGGTATTCTATTTTCCGCCCTGAGCAACCACTTCGGCATATGTTTAGCTGACAGCGTTGCCAACTGCATTTGCGTGAGCCCGATGTATTTGCATCCGCAACTACATGCAAACTCGTAAACGCAGTTTGATGTAGCGTGCATAGGCAGAATGTCTTTAGCACGTCTAACTAGAATAGCCGTTGTTGTGCTTATGCACAACAATTTAGAGGCGGGGTAAATTATTTCAGTCGTGCATCGAAGCCTTCGCTTTATCGCATTGCATACATTATCACCCGTGAAAAGGGTGACTTTTTTTGCACTGATATTTCGGGTGGATTTTCTTGTCTGTGGGAAAACAACGTCCGGGAAAAAACGTTTCAATAATCCACATGCCCCCCCCCGCTTTCGCATGCAGGACAGCATTGCCGGTAACCACGGTGGAACTGTCGTCGTAGTTAAGACAGGCTCGGAAAAGGTGGAAGGAAGGGTTTAGACCGATACTGCTTCAAGTTCAGAAAAACACAGCCAAATCTCTACTTCTTTTTTCTCTCCCTTTTCTATGTTTTCTATACTTCCGCACATTCCCCCCATTTTCGAACTTGTTTTACAGGAAACCATGTCTTCTTAGCGTTGTTTTCGCTAGAAAGGAGGGTGTCCTCTGATTCTAAAAATATATATTTCCTGACGTTCGCATGTGTACTTTTTTTGTCAAAAGCTACCTTAGCATACGTTCTTCACCTTTGCAAACCGCATGCCCCTTGAAGATGGCTACTTTACCCCTTCAAGTTTGTACAAAAAGTGCCCTGATTCACATAAAATCTTGTGGCAGTTATGAATGATGGTAGAATTTTGTAATCAACGTAAATAAACTTGTGATCATAAAAGCTCTCATAATTGAAAATCAACAGCCCCTCACCCTCATCTTTTTCTGACTCAAAATCAAGCATATGATTTCCTACAGAACCAGTATAAGCAGTGCATTTTTCGCCTTCATAATACATCGTATCCGTCAGTTCATTAATATTGTCTCTAACGTCTACAGCATGATCTTGCATAATTTTTTAAGAACTTTTTGACCTTTTCCTCTTAGCGTTGAGAAATGCATGGTTGGCTTTTGACGAGATTTACACAGGCTGCAGTTTGGAAACCTAAAATTCAAGTGTAACGCTGCATAGGTTTCAAAAGTATTAGGTTACGTAGAAACTTTTTTCTAAATTGGATGATTTCCTCCTTCAAGTACAAAATTTAAAAAAGGCGTATCTTCTTGCCAGGCGAGTACAAGAAAGAATATTTTCATGAATGTTTTCTATGAAATATATTTGAATTTATGGGGAGGGGCAGTTAACTGCATACGACTTAAGTAGCCATTTATCGTAGAATGTACTTTTTGTAAGCAGGCAGAAAGAAGCTCATTTAAAAGCCTGCATCCGGATGTGACTGAAATGACTTAAGATTGGGCTGTATAATAATCGGTATTACAACCCTACTTAAGGCGGTTTTACGAGGAAGTATCGATATTTCGCAAAGTTCGACATTTTGCATGAAATACCGGTCGTACTGTAACACTGAGGACGCGTGGCTGTCGCCTTGCCGGAGCCATTATAAAAGAGTACCTATGCAGCACCCTGTAGCAAACGCTGTCGACTAATCTTAGACGCCTTATTTTCAAACTGATCTTCGCCACTTTTTTAACAGAAGAAGGAAACAGTACCTACAGGACCTAAATGGAACCCATTTCTCAGTCTGTTGGTTCTCTTTTCTCGTAGATTTACTACTCCTCGTGTGTTTCGTTTCATAAACATGTCCGTTATGCATCTAGCCGAAGCTGAGGCGTTAGGCTCTTCCAGAGAAATAAGTTGTAATTTCCTTTTGAAATATAACTTGTGAACTGCCCTCCTCTCTCTTTAGGAAAAGGTTTGGCCCGGCCCCAAGACGCCTTTATCCGTATAATTGTAAAATGCTCGTGAACAGCAAGCGCCCGCTTGTTTAATGGACGTCCATCGTAGAAAAAACCAACCCCTCTATTTCGAAGATGCCGCAGTTTGTAGCGTAACGCTTGAAAGGTTGACTGAAATTATAAAATACCATTGCCAGCATAAAATAATTATGCAGCAGGAGCTGTAACACTGATTATCATAAAGTATAATTCCAAGATGTGCCATCTTTTAACTGCACTTACCTTCAGTCGTCTCTAGAAACCACAGTTCGGTATTTATTTGCCAGCAAACCACGTCTTCTTCAAATTTTCTTATCAAAGAAATTGTGGCTTAGGACTTTAAGGAAGATTTTGAATTCCGGAATAGTAATAATAAACATGACCTGCATCGACACTTGCATCTGCAGTTTCTAAAGTACACATTTTACACTTTCTGTGTGATAAAACCAGCATATTCCTGTATGTGATTAAGAAGGTACCATAAGGAGCTCACTAAGTGGTAGAATTCATTAGGAATGTTATTGAGCCGTCAGATACGACGCTATTTGGATGAAAGTTCCCCGGTTTTCGAAAATCTCATAAACACCAGCAGGCAGAACCGTCCTTAGAGGTCATTTTTGCCCTTGACTTATAAAAATAACCTGCTTTTACATTTTCAATAACCCGACTTTCCCTCTTTCGTTAAATTCCACCATCCTAAGATTGAATTTCGCTTTTTTCGTTAGATTCCGCCAATATCATGTTGAATTTCCCTCAATTGAGCAACAGGAGTCTATGTTGATGGATTTTATTTTATTTAGTACATTGAAACAAATATAAGTTTCTTTAATTTAATATTTTTCGATCGCTCCCACCATATTTAAATATCCACTTACACTCACTAACCAAGAATTAAATGTTTGACCACAAAATACGTTAGAGAGTTAGGCGGGGTAATATATATTTAGAGGGCCCTATACAACAGTTTTGCCCACAAGCGTTTTTTGAAAACCCGTGCATGTTTAAAAAGTCAACCGAGGTGCCTGCTTACTCGAAATTGAAGCCCTAAAAACAAACCCTACAAACTGTCGTTTGCTTATGAAAATACAAATACTTTTAGGACACATCAACGTTCGGTTTGGAGGAAAAAAGAGAGGAAGAAACTGCACTTGCACACACAGAGACGCTGGCATTTGTGTAAAAAATTTAATCACCTGCCGAACAGCACAGCACAGCTGACAAGAAGATCTTTCCGACAGAAGTCGTCTAGAATTACTCCGGACGTAGAAGGCCTGTCAGCC